TAAAAATTCCATGACCTCCGCCGGGTTTGAACCCGCATACCTTGAGTCATGAGGTGGGAACGTTACCCCTAGACTACGGAGGCTGCTTAAAAAAACATAATAAATTAATAGACTTTGTTCTTGGATGACACCATATAGTCTTGACACATCTGCATCCATCTTCAAGATTACCTCAATATGCATGCAACAAATCTGTCCAAAATGTTAGTACCTATCTACAAAACTACACGGCGGCAACACATCCCAGATTATAATCTTAAAATGCACAGCTATGAGAGCCTCAGATCTCGTAAGACATGAATGAGAAATATTCTTTATTTTCATTCATCCGAGACCCCATCTCTGTAAATGACAGACAGACTCTGGTGATTCTGTTCAAGATCTCAATGCAATCTGGCTCCTCCTTGAGAAGACAATAATTTATAAGTTTCCCAACATTTTATGAAACCTCAAGTTCCATTACCATGTTCACAAAAACCTGCCATTGAACCCTATGCTGACCCATTCCATTTCTTTAAGATCCATTTTAATATAATCTTCTCATCCATGTCTATGAGCCAGGAGAGCTCAGTCAATACAGTAACAGGCTGAATGGCAGGAGTTCAGTCCTAGCTGGGGGAAAAGGTTTTCTCTCTACTCTGCATCATCCAGACTAGTTCTGAGGCCCATACATCCGCTTTCCCACGTCTTCATCACATGGTGCTTAATCAATAAAGCACAGGGACAACAGTACTGCAGAAAACAAGACACTGACAAGTAAAGACTTTATTATGACAACACCTTGTAGACCTGTGCAAAATATGAAACTAGCTTTCTTCGCCATGGAATCTTTTATTCTTCTGCAAACACACTCTCATGTAGGGACTGATGCAAGTGACTCACTTGGAATGTACCATTAAGGTCATAACATACCATAACATAATGCTTACAAGAAACAATCTGGTCTCTAATGTCACTGAAGGAATTACGCATTTAATTCATACATGTCACAAATGTATTACTTATGCAAGATATCCATAGTTACTTCTGAATATATGACCTCACTCAGTCAATATTTGCTTTAAAGTTTAAGGTACAGTTGAATCATAGCCAAAAAAAATTTAATTATTCTCCTAAACATTTTGAACTCATTGTGCCTCAGACATGTTCTGATTGGTGTTAAATAATGCATTACAAACGAGTTGCTCGTTCTAACATTTGTGCTCCTGACAGTGATTTCTTTCTAATAGAACTTCTTATTGCTATTAGAAAATATTTGTATATGCTGTGTTAAAGACAGCAAAGAAACTGACAAGAGATTGAGAGTAAAAGAAAACAAAACAAACTATTCATCAACTTCAATATTCTTAATATATACTCGTATTACAATAATAATTATGAGAAAACTTGTTTTATTGAAAACATGTATGTAGGAATGCTGACAGACAATTTACCAGCAACCACATGATAATATTCATGGAAATTCAGTGGCAGACGGACTACAGTTAAAACCCCAATAATCTCAGATAAGTTGATAAAAGCATATTCAACTGGCATGAAACACACAATACCAGGTGTAATTGAAGAACATATCTTTATATTTCTGTGTAATGTATTTGGTAAATGTGTTTAGAAGTATAATCACATTTCATAAGATTGTTTACTTTGGCACAACATTTCTGCTTGTTTCCTATTATACATAAGATATGCTTCTTGCTCTGCTCTTGCTCACTCCCTCATACAGAGTGTCCCATGAGGAATGTGCCAGACTTTGGGAGAGTGTTCCTTACGTTAAAGTATGCCGATATAACCCAAAACACCTATGTCCAAAGTTGAATGGTTACGGAGATAATGGCCTGAGAAAAGTGTGGTCTTCTGGCAGGTCCACGCACTTTACCTGTCAGCTGACTAGTTTTATCGATGTTTGTCCTTGAGTGTAGTGATGACCGCTCGCGTTAGGCCCACACACTCGCATACCAGAATGCGCAGTCAGCAATGTTACGTCAGTGTCTGCCATTCATGTGTCATGTATAGTGCTTGGAACCCTAACGACAACTTTGACATGGCATGCGAGTTTTTTGTAGTTCAATTCAATGGCTTCATGTCACTCACAAGTTAGTTTGATGTTACGTACATTTTTAACATTACAGAAACCACATATTCCTGCCAGTTTTAATATGTATTTGGTAATCAACAAGTGTGTAACACAATGTCAAAGTTTCACACTTCTCTGGCCATTATCTCCGTAACCATTCAACTTTGGACATAGGTGTTTTGGGTTATATCGGCATACTTTAACATAAGGAACACCCTCCCAAAGTCTGGCACATTCCTCATGGGACACCCTGTATACAATACTGCTGTTTATATGATTTATGTCTCTGTGACTAACTACTTGCAGCAGACACCTGCTTGAGAAGCTAAAAGGTTGTTGCTACTCAATAAATTTCCCACCTTTTACAGAATCTTTAGGTTCATGACTCTCAAAGCCCTGCAATTCAATTGTCATTCTAAAAAAATTACAAGACTGCAAATCAACACCTATTTTAAATGAACCACTAATTATGCCATAAATTTCATCACAGGCTATATAATTTTCTGTTTCAGACAAATTTGTGGGCATATACCTAAATCATAAAGCTTTCAAACATTACTAATTACATTTTTAAGTATCCACTTTTTATCCCAGACTTTCTTAATCTACAAGTTCTGGTCTATCACAATTCTCATGCGAGATAAGATTGAGACCTTCCACAGCTAAGTGACATTAACTGCAGCTCCAACTTTAGACTTTTCTTTAAATATATTATGGCTCACATTAATGAAAGAATTCAAAACTGCAAGGAGAAGGTTACTTGTATAATCCACCAGGTAGAATGCAAGCAGTTAGCCCAGTGAAAATTAATGCTTACTGCTTCACTTACATGCTAAATTTCCTCAACAGTTTTAAGCTCTCAAAGTCACATAAAATGACTCCTTAGTGATCATTTGTTTTTCTTACAATGTTGACAAGGTCCCAGTTCTCTTTGTGGTTTACTTCATGACACTGTCAATAACTTGAATATATAGCACTGAATAGCAGGATCACAGATGAATAATAAATCAGAAAGTGTCTGAAAGCAAGAGATCATGGTTGTAACCGATCTGCCGACCCCAGCTGGATTTAATTTAGTACCATGTTTTGATCCAGGTAAATTAACATGTTTGGTTAGGTTTACTTGTAACCTACAGCAAATGGACGAGAGGTACATAGGCTATATCTTCCCCTCAAGAAGGAGTTTTAGCCCAAACTCCCAAAGGAAAATGACAAAAGAAAAATGACTGGTCAACGCAGAGGTGAAGTGAAAGAGAAGCTTGGCCCTTTAGAAAGTCACACAAAATTTTACTTGTCTGAATCCTTTGAGAATACAATATGTGACAGTTTTGAACCCATAACTTAAAAGATGGGTGGTCTCTCAACTCCAAGCCAAACTTAACATTTGTCAAGCTACTGACAGGATTTACGTTAAGTTTTAGCACCTAAATTCCCTGTAATACCTAAACGGATTGGGGGAATACTTAATTAGTGTACTCCCATTTTTTGAAAATGACCAATCCTCGTAATTTAGGGAGTTGACTTGTGGACTGAGACAACTCCGAGAGTTTCGAGGAGAAGGCATTCTGCAAAAAGTCTTATTCCAGATCGCAAACCATTCGGACGCAGATCCTGCAAAAAGTCGTATTACAGATCGCAAACTATTCGGATGCAAATTCTGCAAAAAGTCGTATTACAGATCGCAAGCCATTTGGACGCAAATCTGCAAAAAGTGGTATTCCGGACTACAAACCATTTGGATGCAAATTCAATCTAGTGAGGTAGTGGCGGCCACTATGGACAAGAGTTTAATAAAGTGTCTTGTGGAACAAAGCGCGCGCGCGCGCGTGTGTGTGTGTGTGTGTGTGTGTGTGTTATAACAGGAGTTCCCACTTCCCTTCCTGAGCGAGACCTTGCCAAACGGCCTGAGGACAGAATCTTAGCTCTACCGGCGGAACTAGCTACCCATGACCACTATCCCCTTATCAATCCTTCACACCTGTCCTAAATCTGTAAACTGATAGTAGCAGTTTACTGGCGCCCAAAGAAAACCCATTGTCCTAAAGATCAGATGTGTGTAAGTAGGATAAGTGAAGCAGGGTAAAGCCAGCTGTAGCCACCACTGCCCGTAGCAGTCCAGCAGCCAGCGACGTAAAGACCAACACAAGAGGACGAGTAGAAGAACATGACGCCCAACGTAAGGGCTAACGACAATTATAATAACATGGCACCCGACATAGAGGCCCAATGAGAGGATTATAAGAAGATGGCGCTTCCAAACGTGTAGGCAAACGGTTACATGGTCTAACTGAGGTACTATCCTGGCATACCCATCTGCAAAGTGACTGATTCACTACTTTAGGAACAGTTCCTGTCAGTGATACCTCTACATTCTTATGCCTCTTGACATGGCTGTGCACTTCCAAATCAGGGCTTCTACTCAAAGAACGTTTCTCACCCACTTTAACATATAATGTGAACAGACATTTTCTGAGATAAAATTAAAGAAGACAGAAGTTGCAACTGCAGTAACCAATGACCACCTGGGAGCAACGGTCCATGTACATCTGCATCATGACCCCCCTCTTATGCTTTTTTATTAATTACTCAATAAATGTATGCTATATGTTTTGATGTTCTTGAATTTCTTTAGATTAACACTTATGCCAGCATCCTGCAAAAGAATGGTGCCAGTGCTTACTGTCTTCAGTAGGGTAACAGATTTAAAACATTACATAATTTATCCTTTGTTCTATTCCCATACGGAACTGCAGAGTAAGGATCTATGTATGATAAACAAATATAAATTTTCACCTAAAATTTGAGAATCAGTAATCCCAGTGTATTACATTGATTAATAAACTGCAATATTAGGACACATTCAAACATGAAATGATATAATACTGTCATGTGTCTGAAATTAATACAATTGTTTGACATGTCACACTCAGGCTGGAGTAATGAGGCTGTTTCTCATAGTTACTGATACATCCACAACTCTGTTCCTCTTATAAAGCACTGTGTTTTAATAAGTAAAAAATATTTCTTGGCAAATACCATATTGTGCTGCACATTATTTTGAGTGTGCTCAGTTGTTCTCCCATGATTTGTGCAAGTTGTCTAGGTGTTCATGTGCTCTCTGACTAACATTCAAAGATGGATGTACTTCTAGTAATCCTTCAGTCTTCATTAAGCTTAAGCCACACAGACCTGAAACCAAATAAATAACTTTTTCATGAGATCTGACATTCTTCCAGCACTCATCCCTCAAACTACGATATTCTGGGGTGTGACATCACAAAGTCTGACAGGCAGTTACCAACATTCTGGAAGATGGAGTCAGTATGCTCCTCCAAAATAATGGTAGCTATCTACCATACTACTGGTGATGCATCCCAGAATATTAGTTAAAAAAATAATTGTATGGGAGACCTGTGTAAAACAGTCTACTTAATTAGGACATGTTGTCATTTAACTCCACTCCAACTGCTTGTAATAACACAAACTAAAATCCAGTAGTTTCAAGCATTATTAAGGAAACACACATTTTTCCTAATTTTTTTTTAATATCATGTTCCCCACAAATCTTACAAATAGACCCTCCATAAGAATAATGCACATGTAGCGAACACCAAGCATGCTCCACAGTGGCTGCAGGGCCATCTCATCTAGTTTAATTTCCATGCCACTTCTACTGTGATGATTTATGCAACTTTAAGAGCAAGACAGCTTACTCACAAATGCAAATGCTTCTGAACAAACTCGTTAAAAGAGCTGCCTTTTGTTGTATTTTCCCAGGTTGGCAAAAGACCAATAAAATAGTTTTGCTTTTTGTCTTCTGATCTGAACATGAAGAATTAATTGTTGGGTAGAAGGCAGAAGATAAAAGTCACCATGTCAAGTGCATTATGGAGCACAGCTCACAATTTACCTGCCATCTGCATCCAGAATTATTAAAACTGGGTCATCCATGACAATTATTATTGTTTCCATGTACTACTTTTCAAGGATATGAAACTAACTTATTTTAATATTACATATTAGATTTACAATTTGCTGCACCCTTAATACTGAAATGACAGTGACTGTCCAAACTAGCTGCAGGTTGTGCATCACTGAGAGAGCAGTACATACATACATACGTACATAAAGACACAAAGTTAAGCTGACTCACCCATATAAGTATGCAATGGATCTGGTGATGTGTCAATATATTTAGATAAGCCACCCATAATGGGGTCTTGTGTGGAAAGAATGTAGTTCTTGTTCTGCTTGAAATCAATCATTTCAAACACCCCAAGAATCTGCAACACATAAAAAAGATATAATTACTTTAAACTTCAGCTTTACCTTTCAAGCATGCTAATGGTCTTCAGCCATGGTCACATCCATATGCAAGAAGTCTGTTCAGACTTACAGTGGTGGATGACACTGTCAAGATTAAACTGCAGCAGAACAGGAATAAACTTTGGAATAATCCTTCACTCAGCAGATCAGACAAAGGACAGAATATCCTGCATCAGAACCCAAATTTTACAGTGGACAGGCACCATGTATTGCAGTGTCAAGTCAGATGTAATATCAGTGTTGACTGAACTCCCTACTGAGTGTGCAGATGAAAGCTTGACCGTGCCTTTGTTCAGGATATGGACCAGTAGTGGGCTTTTGCAAACATAGTCATGAACTCTTTGTGTTGTATAAAAATTTCCTTGGCTGACTTCATGACTATTAGCTTCTCAAGAAAGTCTCTGCTCAATGAAATGGGTTAGCTGGTTCAGGTTCTTGGTGTAAACTCCTTCCTGGTTCCCCTCTGTGTGAGCCTGACTCTGCGCAAAGTCAAATTCTCTGTATGTTTCCTCACATCTGGTTGAAAGGTAGTTATATATTGTCTATACAGCAGCAGCAAAAGCGGGTGACAGTTTACTTATCTGGACAAGAGGCTCAAATTTTGCTTTCAACACATTCATTGCCATGCCCCCATAATTATTATTATTAGAGGGTGGGTTTCCCCATGCACTTAGACCAGTTATTGGTCCATTGTGCGCCCCCCTTTAATTTCTACTGTCACCATACTCTACCGGTACTGGTGCGTGCTATCAGCCCCGTTCAGCCAATGAGGTCGGCCCTTGGTACCTGATATTTCCCCCATCTACCAGAGGCATTGGAAACTACTTGGGCGGGAAATGTGTTGCCTAATTTTGCTCAGAGGTCTCCTAGAGACATGAGGATCTTTTACGTGCTGTAAATCTATGACACGGGACCCACAGCTTAAAGTCCCTCCCAGAGAACTTGTTCCCTGAATTTTTCCGCTCCACGACCTCCGCCGGGTTTGAACCCGTGTACCTTGAGTCATGAGGTGGGAACGTTACCCCTAGACTACGGAGGCCACTGCCATGCCCGCATACTGGGATTTCACCTTTTGACCAGCAATTTTACCATAGAAACTGGAAGAGAATAAGTGAAAAACAATCAAAAATCATTAATAAGATTGTTTCTTACAGTATTATATGTCTCACTTCATTTATATTGCATAAAACAGTGTCACTATGAACTCACTGATGCATTGTCAAAACATCCTTATTAAAAAATTGAACACTCATGAAATATTTATCATAAAACCTTTATAAATATTCGTCAATGTGAAGTGGGAACCAAAAGTGTGGATGTGTCAATACAGTCCATTTTGTCTGCTGGGTTATGTTTTAACTTCTGCTCGGGATTTAATAGCCAACAATTGCACAGTACATGATCCAGAGTCTACAATTCATATCCAAGTCATGAAATAACCTGCATTCTTATGCACCAGTTTTTGTTTCGCCCACAACAGGATGATAGCATAACCACTATTCAAGGGTCTACTTCAAGAATTTGTGAGTTGTGTCTGTGTGTCTGGTTGTATCAGACATCTTCAGCATATTCCTCTAAACTAAACTGGCAGTAGTTAAGCCTATAGTTTCAAAAATGTCTACTGAAATGTCATCATATAAAATTTGCAATAATAAATCAACATGCAGTATCACCTCATTCACAGGTTGGAACTGCATTTCCAACTGGCCAATGACAGGTCACTCTTCAAACCCTAACACTCCAGCCTTCAGAGACACCAAATACTAAAATTCTCATTTTTTACTCTTTGTAATTTATATATGCTTTTTGAATGCCTGATAGTATGTTTCGTGTGTCATGCTGTACATTTCTGTGTGGACTGAGTATATACAAGTATACAGGTTGTCCCAGGAGGAATGTGCCAGACTTCGGGAGGGCGTTCCTTATGTTAAAGTATGCTGATATAACCCAAAACATCTATGTCCAAAGTTGAACGGTTACGGAGATAATGGCCCGAGAAAAGTGAGGTCTTTTGGCGGGTCCACACACTGTACCTGTCAGCTGAGAAGTCTTATCTATGTTTGTCCTTGAGTGTGGTGATTCACACTAGCAGTAAGCTTATGTGCTACCTTCAGGGTACGTTGCGGCCGCGTTGTGAATGGATGGTAAATTAGTTGTGCAGAGTTGCTGAAATGCCCTTAGTGTTTTCACATGTGGAACATTGTGATATGCATTTTGTGTATGGATTTTGCGGTGGCAATGCACGTGCTGCTGTTGAAGAATGCCAATGGATCGACAGTTTCCATCTCAAAGTGTATTTACGCGAATTCACCAGACATTGTGTGATACTGTTTCTCTTCCGAGTGTTTCTGTGCACTCTGAAAGGGAGGATGTACGAATGAGAAACACATGAGAGAACATTCTTGAGATGGTTCAGAGAAGTCCGCGTCTGTCCACTCGTAGAATGGCCTCTCGCATTGGCATATCACGTATGCAGGTGTGGCGAACTTTACATGATGAAGAGTTGTATCCTTACCATGATCAAAGGGTACAACATCTGGAACCAGGCGACCATGCTCAGCATATGGATTTCTGCCACTGGATAGAAGCTCATCCCCAACTGTTAAGCATCATTTTATTCAGTGAGGAGGCGTCTTTTACCCTGGATGGTGTAAATAATTTATGAAATGTGCATACGTGGTCCCATAATAATCCACACAAGACAATAGTAACGAAATTCCAAGAGATTTTCTGTGAATGTATGGTGTGGTGTGCTTGGGAACAGGTTGTTCGGACCTTTAGTGTTTCACAAAAATTTAACTGGAAACATGTATGAAGCCTTCCTGAGGAGTGAGTTACCATGTTTGCTGGAAGATATTGCAGCTGGCGGAGGACACTTTGAACAATTAGTATAAAGCAGGTACTGTATTTTAGTAGTTATGTAGTCGGTTTATACCAGAATGCGCAGTCAGCCATGTTACGTCAGCGCTTGCCATGCATGTGTCATGTATAATGCTTGGAAACCTAAGGACAACTATGACATGTCGTGCGAGTTTTTTTGTAGTTCAATTTAATGGCTTCATGTCACTCATGAGTTAGTTTGATGTTACAAACATTATTACCATTACAGAAACCACACATTCCTGACAGTTTTAATATGTATTTGCTAATCAACAAGTGTGTAACACCTGTCCAAGTTTCACACTTCTCTGTCCATTATCTCCGTAACCGTTCAACTTTGGACACAGGTGTTTTGGGTTATATCGGCATACTTTAACATAAGGAACACCCTCCCGAAGTCTGGCACATTCCTCCTGGGACACCCTGTATATATCTGTGTGTGTGTGTGTGTGTGTGTGTTGGGGACATATTGTTTTTAACATATTGTCACATGTCACAGTGACTAAAGACGGGTTTTGGATTGGTAATTGGATTTATTAACCACCTACAGGTTGTAACTAAATTAATTATTACACTACTGCTGATTTATGCAATTTACATTCACTCCACACTAATCTTCTCAGTCTATTTCCAATAGTGCTCACTATCCATTTTCTGGCAACGGATTTATAACATAGAACTATAAAAGTCTCACTAAATTACTCACTCCCAATACTGATGTACCACAGCATATGTAATGTCACACACTGTCTTCTAATTCTTCTTCTGGCCACACTGCTTTTCCCTTGGAACTTTGGAACTCAAGTGAAGTCCATCTATTACTCACTCCTCGAGCTTACAACTGCCTGCAAACAACCTTTCCTGTCCCCCACAAATCTTCAGCATGGACCTACATAATATTCTGTTCTGCTTGCTAAACACAACAGTGCCTCCTTACTGCTGTCAGTTTAATCTTGGAGGTCTCCCATCAAACTCTTGAGTATCAACTTCAATACAACCCCAGTGGGCCTAGGCCTCCCTCCATGAAACTCTCCGTTTTACTTCGGTTTACTAGATCTTAGACATATGGTAGGACTCCTTGGGCGGGTGATCAGCTCGTTGCAAGGCCTCTACCTGTACACAAACATCCATGCCCTGAGTGGGATGCAAACCCACGATCCCGGCTTCTGAGTGAGCGAAGACAGTGCATGCCCTAGACCGCTTGGCTCCATGACTGGCAAACATTTTACTTGCCTAAACAATTTTTTTTTTTGTGGATGACATGTCCCTCTTAAAAAGAAACAAAATCTCCTGAGACATAAGCGTTAAGTTTTAAGTCCCTTGCTATATCATTTCCATCAGAAACGATTTTCCATAAAAATTTATTCTTATGTAATCACATATTTTTCTGGAATTGTCATCATTCTTACAGATTATTAAAAATATAATATTTGAGGTTCTTACAATATCGAATACCCATTTAACAAACTACGTGGAATCTCATCCCAGAAGTTTGTAAACTCTTATTAAAAGTGTTCCTATATCATCACACTCATCACCAGAATCATCCTAGATTACAGCTTTGTTGAAATTCATACTGATTTAACAGAAACTCCTTGTAAGCAGCAGAATTTAGAGAAGACTTTTCTTGACCAACAATGGTATAGACAGGAACTTCCTTATGTTCCATTGCTGGTTACATGAAAACCTAACAGCTATATACAACTCTCTCAACTCCACCACTATGAAAAGCAAGGTTGTCTTTAAGCTTGACACACTTAATCACTGGGCAAGAAGAGCTGACAACTTGGAGCTCCCGAGTTTCACCTTACCTTCAGTAATCCTCCCAACCAAAAAGAGTAACAAGTATCCACTGGTTTGTTTGGTCTGCCCTGAAAACCCGAGATCTGGCGTGCAAGGCCCCACCTTCGTAACCCATCTAACTGAAAACACAGATCATGAGTAACTCACACTTTGTACATTCAGACTTGCTGGGAAATGCATCAAACTTCTCTGTTCAGGAGAAAATATTTATTATGCCTACATACTCTTGAACATATTGTCACATGTTGGGTGTATAACGCGACAAATAACTTCACGCCGTATTGGATATAGCGAATTTTATTTCACACTTGCTCTTACAACCACACCTTTTACAATCTCACAACTACTGCTATCTGCAGTATTACTATTACTTGGCCGCATACTCTTCCCTGGCCAACTCGTAACTCCCTCTTGAATAGTCTTCGCTGCTCCTTATTTAGCCCCGTTACGGACAACACAGAAAACAATTATGTAATAGGCACCACTGTTGTCTGACGCCGTGTTTGCCGATAGCCTAGCAACGCTGTCGGGAGTTGTTTACTGCTGAGTAGCAACGGCGGCATCCCATGTTACGTCACCGTGGTAGGGGGCAGGGTGTTGACTGGCCTATTACCATAGCAATGGCAACACTCTGAAGGTGTTACGTCACCAATGGCAGGGTAGGGGAAGGAGTGTTGACTTGTAAGATTTGAGGCTTGAAGACTGCTTTCTTCAGAGTGTTGACTTGTCTGTTACCATAGTAACAACAGCGCTCCAATGCCACCACGTCACCGCTGGGGAGGGAGGGGGTGTCCTCCATAGTGCAACACATCACAACATGTTGAATTACCAATATTTCAGCAACATTTATTCATACAGTGCTGGTACCATTAGAGCAGTGTTCCGCAACTGGTGTGCCATCACAAGGTGAAAGGTGTGACGCGAACTTTTACCTATTGTAAGAAATTAATTGTCGAATTTAATTAGTTTTATTTTATCCCAGTTACCGTGTTTCATATGCTTGTATTTTATTCTCAGCCACTGCACTGATTAAATAAGATGATGCTTGTTTATTCTTTATTACATGCCGTGATTTTTTATGTACAGTAATGTTGTATTCTAAGAAATTAAACGTAAATTATTGTTGAAGAAAGCAGTCTTTTGGGATTTGGCACCGTGTATAAGTGGTGTTAACTGATGTTTCGGAGGAACGTATCGCCTCCATCTTCTTCATAGTCACCGCCGTGAAAGCCTCAAATCTTATGTAAATTATTGTTGTTGTTATATCATAGTTTTCATTATTGATTTATTTTTATTTTTCTCGCATCTAAGCGGCTTCTTTGATAAACTTGCCGCATGTTCTGTGTACGTGCTTTTCCTTAAACCTGCAGGGATTAGCAAGGGTTTCCTTGTCTTTTATAATGCTACGAATATTTTGGTTATCACGAGGAAAAGTGTTAACGCAAATATTTGAACTTAATGAGAAGGTACGTGCATTTTTGACTGTTGAGGGGCATGAGTGTGCAGATTTATTTGCAGATGATGAATGGGTATGTAAGTTGGCATATCTTTCCGATATTTTCATACACTTGAATGAGCTGAACAGAAAGATGCAAGGTAGGAACGAAAATAAACTAACTAATATGGATAAGCTATAAGGATTTGTAAATAAGCTGAATTTGTGGATACAGAGAATTACAGATGGGTCGTTTGAGATGTTCCCGACTGTCTAGTCACTTGCTGACGGCAATACAGTGGTGATGTACACAATTAAAGAACATTTAGAAATGCTGCAGCAGAAATTCAATAAGAATTTTGGAGAGAGACTACAAGATTTCGACTGGGTTCGTGATCCATTCGTTTCAAATTCAGAACATCTTCTGACTAATATACAAGAGGAACTTGCAGATTTAGAAGCAGACAGAACACTGAAACTAAAACTTCTTGAAGTGCCTTTGGATATGTTTTGGTTGGCAATAAGGAGTGAATACCTGGCTATCTCTGAGATGGCAGTTAATGTGTTATTGCCATTTTGAACTACATATTTGTGTGAACTGGACTTCTCGACTTTAACTGAAATTAAGACATCAAAGAGGGAGCGGCTCAAATCCATTGATGGAGAAATAAGACTTCCGTTGTCAACGACTCCATCACGGATCAGTCACCTGTGTGCAGCTATGCAGGTGCAAGTATCACACTGAAGTTATGAGTAGAATTACTGTATTTACTTTAATAGTAATATAGTGTATTTTTAACACTCTACAGTGAACTGTTAATAAAAGCACGAGTCAATTTCTGTTTAATGATAATAAAAATAATAATATTATAGTAATAAGTTGATCACATTACGTATTTATATTAATTGTCTGATATCATGTGATTTTGAGGGGAATAACATTTTGGTGTGCCGTGTTCAGTCATGGATAGTTCATGGTTTGCTGTGAGTAGAAAAGGGCTGCGGAACACTGCATCAGAGCCATTGTCATGGGCTCCTATCTGCTACCCGACAGGTTGGTTGCTCAACAATACTGCGATTTTGTGGGAACAGTTCTACTGGAGGCTGCCTCAAGAGGCGTCTCTAGCTGTGAGGCAGAGGTTGTGGTTTCAGCCAGTGGAACTTCAACACACTATGGAGAAGATGTCCAGCAGTGGTTGAAGGTGACATGTCTGCAAAGGTGGAGTGGATATCGAAGGCTGATTACATGGCTTCCTCAGTTGCTGGATTTAACTCCAATGTCCCCCCCCCTCTTGTTGGAGACACCTGAAGGAGCACATTTATGGACTACTAAAGATCTCAAGGCAAGACTTCAAGCAACTGTGACAACAGCTGATACCAACATGAATGGACATGCTTAAGAGAATGCCATGTCACATAGGCATCTGCCTTGAAATGGATGGAGGCTGCTACAAATGTCTACTGTAACAACAAGGCACTCATGGTTGCATTATTTGACAATGTATCCTGAAAACTGAATGTTACAGGACATATGTTGTACAAATTTTTAACAAGGAATCACACTATGGAAAGCTTGTGCATGAATTTTGTTTCATATGTTGAAATTTGATGTGCATTAACTGACAACAAAAATATTAACTAGCTTAGTAGCATCTAAACTGGTGAAAATATATAGTCAATGATGATAAACTGGAAAGGATTTGGATAGAAATAGTTGTGACATAACCTACTATCACTGCATTTACTTGGCGGACTGAGGAAAACCACAAAAAACCCTCAGTCAGGACAGCCAATGTTCCAGCTCAGACTTGAGGTATCACCCCCAAAAAACAACTGAAGATAGAGGAAAAAAACAATCAGTCCACAATGGCACTTCCTGACCATGAACATAACCGGCACACACACATTCTACTGTAATCTATCCTTAGACCATCTTCAGTGCATACAACAAAAGCAGATCCTTATATTCATTCATTCATTCATCAGTAACTGTCAGATGACAGGTCCACAGTCTCTTCCAAAACAGTCCCCTCACTTAATGCGATCTTCTGTTTTTGGAAAGAGACTATCCAGGAAAAGTGATAATGTGGTAGTTTTTCCATTTGCTTTCCACATCGCAGTAAAACAGCCGTTCAAACCACTCTGGTCACGCCTGTTGCTATACGAACTTGAACCATCTCGAGCATCATTTGCTCTGTGCTTCAAGTCGCTGCTTCCGGCATCAGTTTTTGGTGTCTCTCTTCGTCTGATGCCTACCCTTTGACCTGTCCAGCAAGGGAGGCCCTGCCAGTAGCTACGCTACCGCTGGTATAGCTCTCAGGGTCCTTGGCATACTCAAACCCCCTCACCACGATAAGGTGGAGACACCAACAAAAGCAGATCCTTATATATATGCACATATTTGACCTCAAGAAGACTGCTCAGTTGCCATATTAACCTGAGTACTGAAATGATTCACACTGAACAGCACAAAACAATATGCAGTTGGTTACAGTACTGTATGCGCAAATACTAAACCAACTTTACTACTCATACAGAATACAGTAGTTCTGGCCTAAAATTTGACCACAATTTACTTTTGGTCAATATTTTATTCTAATTACCTGAATTTTAAAATGACATCTATTTATCTAGAAACAGAAACCTGATACAGCCCTTCAAGATACTTCCTACTACTGAAACAAAATACTGTCACTGCTGGATCCCATCTGAAGATAGTTTAATCTAGTTCATATTTTTATAACCCATATCCACAGCATCAATTTTAATATTATCATATATACCTCCATAATGATCTCTTCTCTTCTGACTTCCAAACCAAAATTTTACATGCATTTATCAGCCTTATTGTTTCAAAATTTCAACAGCTTGTACAAGGTATGGTTTGAACACTTGTGTGTGAGTCAGTCTTCTTTCATTTCACCATTAACCAAGAGCATTCCTCAACAGCAGCACTGCTGAAATTAATGTAGCAGGAAAATGGGTTTCAGACCCAGGGAGGGGCAAACTGAATTCTGGTGATAACTATGCAATTACTGAAACCTGCAGAACTGCCGAAGAATACCTGAACCACATTTGCTTCCCATTAATGAGTATCAATCCAGAAGCAAATCAGCAGCTTTCAATACATGTATACATTCTCTCAAATTAAACTCCATCTTCAGGTTAACGGGGGTATGCAGTAGCGTAGTTGGTTGAGGGGCCATACTGGGAGGTCATGGGTTCAAGTCCCTATGAGGTCATTGGATTTTTTCAATTGACCTAATCCTTCCAGCCGCACTATGGCCTGCGGGTTAACTCAGCATCTAACAGAAATGAGTACCAGGAATTAATTAAATAATTTTCCTGGGGAGTAAAGCGCAGCCGACACGTAAGGCTGACAACCTTACTGCCATCTTTGAGCCGACTGTCTAGATGTGGGACCCTCAACGCCTCATAGCCCTATGGGCCTTCACAGCCTGTTACAGGGATAGCTTTACTTTTTTTACTTTACTTTACTTCAGATTAACAGACAGAGGTAACTTGTAACTCAGAAACTTTGGTAAACACTGACCAGATTATAGGCCTAATCTTCTTTTGTATTTTTAATCAGTGAAAAATGAGAAATGAGATGATGATTATGAACAGTAAAATGTCAGAAAAAGTGGTCATGACTCAGTTTAAAGCTCTTTCTTGCACTGGCAATGACAAACTGAGGAAGACCATATGACTTATCAGAATGGCTGAATCAAAGAAAATTTAAAATTTGTGAATGTACTTAATTCCCTGTGCAGTTTGCTATATAATGGGTATGATATCTTCTACTCTGAAACATGAGTTAACCTTTATCACCCAGGAGCAAAGAAATTAAATCTCCTCCTGCTATGTCACTGGAAGCCGAATTTTAACTTGATGTTGATGACATTTATATTGTAAACATTACATGGTTAGCCTGGTGGAAGCTATGCATGCAGTTCCCACAAATTTGAGTTTAAATTATCTATTACAAAATGTGCTACATAACCTATAAAATCAGATTCTGACCCCTTGGATTATATGAAGATGATGGTTCCTTTTCCTATTTTGAAGCCTTTTATGCTACTTTACATTTAAAACACAGTGGTTATTAGATGTACCACCCGCTTTAATGCGTAAAAAAACTTTGCACTTTACCTGCAAAAATTTATTTATGGGTTTCATATGATTCTAAGAGTAAACATCGATTAAGTAAGATTTGAGGTTTTCACGGTGGTGACTATGAAGAAAGCAGTCTTCTGGGATGTGGCGCTGTGTAGATAATGACCTCCATCTTCAGGGTANGAGGCAATATGTTCCTCCGATATGTCGGTTAACACAATAACTACACAGCGCCACATCCCAGAAGACTGCTTTCTTCAAACATCGACTAGTTCACTATAAGGAATAAAACAACTGGACTTTGTGATGGAGATGAAGTGTGTATTTTGAATGGCAGGAAATGAACTTTTAAATACAGAATTATTTGAGTTAACATTTAATTTGATCACTACAACCAGTCAACTGAAGCATGAGGAATGGCCATCAGTTTACCTGTTTATTTGTAAAACAAGTGTTCAGTTGATTCATCAGTGCCAAGGTGGCCACAGCACAGAATGTTGTTCCCCCATGCGATTCCAGTTCAGGCGCCAGCGCGATGCCATAATCATAGGACTGAAACACAGTGCTGCAATTAACACCTATGGTCTCCTTATAGGTGTCCTTTCATCTCTTTAATTCTTCTCAGTCTTTGATGTGTAACCGCTCTTTTTATACTGCATAAGGCAATGTAGTCTACTATTGCTCACTTGCTTCAGAACCATCTAATGCATAAAGTGATCATTATGCAGTGCCATGTTGGTAATTAACAGAAAACTGACCAATGGGAAAGCCCCTTATATATGAGAAGAGATTTTGAGTACAAAAAGCAGAGCTCCTACACATTTACAAGACTGTCTTAATGAATAACCACTTTCATTGTTTCAGTACAGTTTATATTAAGAATAACCAGTACATGTTAGTAGCGGGAACTGTGACACAAATTTGTGACCCACACCATTTCTAGCACAGTTCTAGAGCATCTCAGTGCAAAAAGGAACTACTTCAAAATTCCTTCAATGACAGTAAATGACATAAACAGAACTCCATACATATTTTGTGAAACAGGAATTGGCAAAAATGACCACACACAATATTTAATCCCATTATCTTTTTTAATTTTTGAATTTATATGTAAGTTTTGTATATTATAATTTCATATTTTTCTGCCCATCTTCCACTCACTGACTCTTGTTTCATCTACTGAGTCACAATCAAATCAAAAGAAGAAATATTCTCTTGTTCCTTGCATGGGAATACAAGTGGCCTCTGCTGAGGCTGAGACCACAGTCACATTAAGAGTGAACACTGTTTACTACGTTCTAAGTGACAGACACAGCTTCCAAAAGGAGACTTCAAGAATAAGACAGAGCAGAACTGATTCTAGACATTGTTTCTGACAAAGACTGCCTGAAGATGAAGACATATATACCTCCTTTGTAAGTGAAAGACACTGGCAGTGACAATGAAAACAACACTGTACAGACAGACTTGATATAATGGTCTGACTCGACCTTCTGAACCAGTTATCCACACCCAGCTTTACAAGGGAGCCAGTGGTTGAGACAAAATGAGGCACCTCATATTACTCTACATCACTGGGCATTTCCATGTTCCTTTTGTATAAAATTTGACAGAAATAATATGGAAACACAAACAAAATGCAAACATGTAAGTTTTGAGGTTTTCACGGTGATGACTATGAAGAAAGTCGTCTTCTGGGTTTTGGTGCCGTATATTCTTCGTTTTGGCCGACGTTTCGGAGGAACGTATCACCTCCATCTTCAGCGATTCACCTGCTCTGAAGATGGAGGCGATATGTTCTTCCGAAACGTTGGCCAAAATGAAGAATACACGGCGCCAAAACCCAGAAGATGACTTTCTTCAAAATGCAAACATGTTGACAAGTATGTATCATTCTCCAGCAGAGAGTAATATCTGTGATGAACACTGAAATTCTCCGATATCAGCCACAGTACAAGGCTAATAAAAGATACGTGATACATGTGGACAAATCTGACCTCATGACACAGCAGCCAGATGTGGAACTGGATAAAAGCTGTTACTCCATCACCTAGGCCTTTCAATTCTGAAGAGCTTCAACCTCCTCACCTCCTGTGTCTCAAAATTATCACACTGACATTTCGAACTTGCATTTGACAGTGACTGAATACAAGATGTGGGAGGGTGCCTCAACCACAAACAAACCCCTCGCATCAGCCAACTGACACAAGTTCATGTACGACACCAAATATTGGCTCTTGGAAAGTAGACAAATTTGGTGTCATGTATGTTGAATAACAAATAAATAAATTATGACAAAATTTGTATGTATGCACTATGGGGGTTGTGTGCTAATCAATGTTTCATGCTCTACCATACAAAACTGAATGTCTGAAGACTCTCGAACACCATACTGTAATAAGCTGAACACACAAATGTAAGTAGATACTACAAGTGTCACTGTGTTTTCATAATACTTTTGCAGTAACCAAGTATAGGTAAAATAAGAGGCTAAGATGGCGTAGATTTTTTGAAATGGTTGATGAGCTATGCCAAGGCACATCTTGAAGCATCTCAGGATACCTGGGTCTCATTTTGAGGCTTTATAAGATAAAAAAGTAAGAATACATTGTAAGATTTGAGGCTTTCACGGCGGTGACTATGAAGAAAGCAGTCTTCTGGGATTTGGCACCATGTATATGTGGTGTTAACTGATGTGTCTGCTTTTACCGGTTCTCAGGTCTCTTCGCTTGCAGATTTCTCATATTTTTTCTTCTACCCTGAAGATGGAGGCGATACGTTCCTCCAAAACGTCGGTTAACACCACATATACACGGTGCCAAATCCCAGAAGACTGCCTTCTTCATAAGAATACATTCAAGGACAGAATACATTTACACAGAAACATTACAGTATCAAAGTGAGAAGAGTTTAATAAACATTTAAGTAACTGTGTGAACCGGTAGCATAAAGTGCTGCATCTAGCTGTTCCAAGTGTCCTCAGTGGCATCTCACCCTTTATTCACCTGAGTCAGACCTCATCCTGCCACTGCTGAGCTATCCTGTAATGACTCACCAAACTCTGACATTACCCACGACCCAGCATGACTGGTCAATTATTTATTTTATAATTACCTAACTTCACCGGAGAGTTAAGAGGCATCATCCTGAAAGAACATCCATGAATGGAAACAGTACTTGCATTTCTGCAATACAATTATGCGTGTGTGTATATTGATAGATAATATTTAATCAAATTTGAGCAACCAGAAGGCAAAAAGTTCCACACTGGTGCTCTGGGCCCAGGCTTGGCTGAGCTTCCCCACACCATAAAGTCATACAGTCTTCACCATCAGATGGAGACAGTCCAGTATTGATTGATTGATTGATCAGTAACTGTCAGATGACAGGTCCACAGTCTCTTCCAAAACAGTTCCTCCACTTAATGTGATCTTCTGTTTTTGGAAAGAGACTGTCCAGGAAAAGTGATAATGTGGTAGTTTTTCCATTTGCTTTCCACATCGCAGTACAACAGCCGTTCAAACCACTCTGGTCACGCCTGTTGCTATACGAACTTGAACCATCTCGAGCATCATTTGTTCTGTGCTTCAAGTCGCTGCTGATGACGCTGCTTCCGGCATCAGTTTTTGGTTTTTGGTGTCTCTCTTCGTCTGATGCCTACCCTTTGACCTGTCCAGCAAGGGAGGCCCTGCCAGTAGCTACGCTACCGCTGGTATAGCTCTCAGGGTCCTTGGCATACTCAAACCCCCTCACCACGATAAGGTGGAGACACCAACGAGGGGGAGTCCAGTATACGATTAAAAAAAAAATCAACAGTGAAGAGAGAGAAGGTTGGCTGTGCCTGAAACCAGTCTGAATATCACACGAAAGAGAAAATTCTCTGTCCTACCAGGAGTCGAACCCAAAGCACAAGTCACCTTCCTGTTTGCTATATGTAACTCAGAATGTTTCCTTACCATACTTCTTGTAATGTAGTTCACAGTCTTCTTTACATCCATAGCAGACCAGTCATGCAGTATGTAACAGATGCAAGCAGCACAGTACACAAACCTCATGTCACTTTCACTGCCAGCAAGAGTTGCACAGAAACTAGGAAAACAATACACAATTACTGTTCTGTATATGATTTGAAATTCTCACACTAGTTATGAAATGTCCTATCTTCTGGGCATAATTCCACATAGTCCATTGAATGTCTAGTTTGTTTCAGAAGAATAGGTCATTCTCATCTTCAGAGATCAAGAGAATGCCAAGCAAGAGACTGGCATGAAGCACACAGAAAGCAGAGGTGGTTTATTTCTTCCTTGGCTTGCAAGAAACCAGTGTAGGCCCTGCTCACTGTGGCTTCATGCTGGTGTCTTGCTCGGCTTCCTCTCCAACCCTAAAGATGGTGATATTTTCCTCCAAAACATCAGCTGATTTTCAATGGACTGCACAGCATTATGTCCCACAAGACAAAACTCTAAATTACTCTTCTATCCTGAATGTCATATTATCTAATTATTCAAATGCCACACATGTCAACTTCAGACATACACTCTATTCTGGGGAAAAGACTTTGCATTGCAACATTGTGTTTATTTAAATAACTCTACATAATGCTGTGAATATCACTTTCACTGAGTTCAGCAAGCAGTTTCAAACAACAGAAAACAGCACACAGTTACAGATATGGTATGTGTGGGTGTGTGTCTATATACATACAAATCCACCTGAATTTGCCATATACTTTTAAGTACTAAACATTATTTCTGGTACGAATGTAGACTTCTTGGTACGTGTACTAGCAGCAGCAGTAGCTGCAGCCATTATTTTTATTAAACTCTCCTTCTACGAAAGAGTGAACTATAAATCAGGCTGCATATGCTACATGTTAGTTATCCAGAAACTGCAACCGCTCGCTCCCAGCAAAGATCAATGGCAGATTATACACTATCATTTGAATATCAAATTAAATATAAACTTGTAATCAATCTTCCATGTTAGGTGGATCCCCTGTCACCACGGCATGGTGTATCCTCAGGTTGCAGATGGAGGGAAGTTGCGAATATATTGAATAAGCAGTCTCAGACTGCTGACAAGGGGCGTTCGTCCAGCTTGGGGGTTCGGCGTGGGGCTAACAACTCCTCACCAGATAAAATAACTTTGTTATGAAAATGCACAAAAAGCCTCGGACCTGGACGGATCCTCTGGATCAACGACCTAAGCTAAAGAAAACAGACATGAGATTTGCTACATGGAATGTTAGAAGCATGTACAGGGCAGGTTTGCTCAGGGCAGTGGCAGAAGAAGTCTTAAAATATAAGTTACATTTAGTGGGAGTACAGGAGGCCAGATGGGATGGAGGTGGCATAGCACCAGCAGGCAAATATGCATTTTTCAAGGAAAGAGGAATGAAAATCATGAATTTCGTACATAAGAGAATCATATCAGCAGTTAAGAGGGTAGAGTTCGTTAGTGATAGGATATCATATATAATACTAAAAGGTCGCTGGTGTGACATCATCGTTATCAATATTCACGCCCCAACAGAAGATGAAATTGGTGACATAAAGTACAGGTTCTATGAAGCATTATAAATTATAAATTTAATGGTTTATTTAGTTTCTGCTCCTTGTGATGGGTAGATAATTTTCTCATGACAATCTGAGTATTATACAGATGACTATACATACAAGTGGCTGGAAATTTCACTGGACTGATAACTTTTTATTTAATAGTTCAGGGTGTGGAGGCCACAGACGTTTCGGGGAGGATAACGTATGTACAACCGATTCTCACCCCTGGAGTAAATTAAATTTTGCCTGACTCAGCCAGATTTGTTGTTACTGTGGGGGAGTGGGGGCAGTGCGCCTACTGACGCCATGATTATGAAAGGGAACCCATCAGTCTTTAGGTCTTGAACAGATGGCAGAAGGTTTCAGAATTAAATATGTATGATTGTAGTATATATGGTGAGTTTGAAAGCTGTTTCAGTAACACATAGCATCACTTGTATTGCTATGTAAAATTTTATCATTTGAAGTTTAATGACTGACATACCTTTCAGCAATGTTGGACTCACAATACAGCAATCCTCATGCTGTCACTACAAATTCTAGTTTGAAATTTTATATTTCATTTATATATTTTAACAATAAATCAAAAGCACAATCTTCTCAGTACCATAAATTTAAAAAAACAATGACATTACAAATTACTGTTATGTAGTGACTGCTTCATCAAAGAAAATTATGAAAATCTGGATTTCTCACACTATCAAAACTAACCTGCCATCCTCCTGCTGTAAAGCCTTCACACCTTCGATGATTGCTGCCCTGTTGACTCTAGACAAATTGTCCCCCAGTATAACCAAACTAGCAAGACCTGTGTATGTCATGGCCAAATGTCCACATTCATATACTGTTGAGCAATCTGATTCACCTCGTGTGAAGATTAATGTACTGGAACCTTGAAATCCACATCTTTTCAAAGATGAGTCTATGGAGAAGACAAAACACTGCAATATAAACAAACTCACAAACAACATATAAAAAAAGTAAGTAAAGTAAAGGTATCCCTGTAACAGGTTCTGGAGGCCCATAGGGTTGTGAGATGTTGAAGTTCCCACATTTTCTAGACAATCGGCTCATAGATGGCGATAATGTTGTCAGCCTTACATGCCGGCCGCCCTTTAACTCCAAGAACATTCCAAGAATATTCCTGGTACTCATTTCTGTTAGAGGCTGAGTCGACTGCAGGGCCATAGTGCAGTTGGAAGGATTAGGTAAACTGAAAAAATCCAATGACCTCGTCAGGAGCCGATCTCGTGATCTTCCAGCTTGTAGCATAGTGCCTCAACCAACTACACTACTGTGTGCCCCCTCAAACAACATATGCACCACCCAACAATGATTTAAGCCCTTCTTACATAGATCTATCTTATTTACAAAATCATGCCATTATGAAAAAAGATGTAAACTTTATTAAACATTAGTATATTGCTTGGTCTAGAAGTAAACACAGAGGAACTAAAGTATATGTTCATGTCTCATTGCCAGATTACATAGGTAATGAATCCTTATGAAAATGTGGGAAAGTTCAAATGTTTGGAAATGACTGTAACAAATAAAAATTACATTCATAAAGAAATTATATACAGACTAAGGGAATGTTTTCTGCCATTCACATCAGAATATACTGCCTTCCCTTCTGCTATCTAGCTAAATCTGGCTAAAGATTATCAGCATAGCACATAAAATTCTAATTTCAGTCGTTTTACATGGGCATGAAATCTGGTCTCAGCCTAAGAGAGGAGCAAAAAGACTGACAGGGTTAGAGAACAGTGTGCTGAGGATAATATTTGGACCTAAGAGAGAGGGAGCAATGGGCTGCAGAAGACTGAAAAATCTTCATAATTTGTACCCTTCACCCAAGATCTTCAAACCAAAACAGAAGACAAGTATCATGCATGTGACAGGAGATAAATACACACAACACTTCTATCTGGAGAGTTAAAAGGGTGAAACTACTTTGGAGACTTCAGCACAGATGGAAGGGCAACATATGTTAGAGAAATAGAATGTGAGGTGTTGACTGCATTCAGGTGGCTCAAAATAGGGTTGAATGGTGGGACCTTGTGAACACAGAAATGAACAGTATGAAATACCATCTGCAGGAATGGTATGGCCAATTCCCAGTGGACAAGACTGCAGTGAGGCTGGAAAAGAATGCTCCATAACTGATATCTGGCTAGACTCCAAAAATTTGCTGGTATTGATACTGCTCTTGTGTATTTGCACCACCCAGAATTGAGCAGTGTTGCCAACATTTTGGAGGTTCATGGCACCTCTATCTTCTGGTTGAAGTGAACAAGGCATGCTAATGTTCATGTATATATAGTTTTTGATCCAATGGACACAGACCCACAAGAGAAAGTGGGGGGGAGTCCAGACAACTGGAACCGTGAGTAGGGAAATGTGACCAAAAACTCCTCTTTTATGAGCTGATGATGGCTTTTTGGTGCACTTTATTTTGATCTCATTTCCCTACTCACCATCCCAATAGCCTACACTATTTATTTATTTATGATCTATTTAATAATGCCCCCCAGTGACTCATGCCATAGAATAATCAGTGAATAAGAAATTGAAAAGGTTGTAGCAGTGGTCTTAGTATAATTTGAAATATAGCCCACTGAGGATAGCCATGAAAAACGGCAGTCAGGGTAGCTGGTGTCCTGGATGAGATTCAAACTGTAATTCCCCTGAATACAGATCAAAAGCATTACTGCTTCAGCAACTTCTTAATTCAGTGAACTGTCTCACCCTATCATTTTCACAGTGCAAAACCCCATGAACTAATTTGAAGCTGAAGGTGGCATTCTTGGTGCCTTTTCAGTTCAAGCTGTGAATTTACAGTCTGAAATTTTGTTGTTTTGTTCTGTAAATATTTTATTTCAGAATCATTTATTACGAAAAAAAAAAAGCAGTGCGGGTAAAACTCGTGAAAAAGCTGCTGACCTCCCTCATACAGGATGCACAGCCCTAACCTGTTTCCTCATGCAGATAAACTACTCTACAAAAAATATTACAATTTGGTGACAGTGTAATTGGTCTCATTATGCACACCCATACACATAGTGTCATACTTCTCACAAAATTTGTATTTTATTCATGCTTACACCAACGAAGTTAAATGTAACTGACCTGTTACCAAATTAGATTTGTTGGAGAAATATAAGGATATGTCTAACTTTTAACTTCACTGCTGTAATCACAGACTCCAGGTAATGGACACTTATTTCAGCATTAGCACTTCCTTCACATATTCATTACTTAACATCTTTCAGTTATCCAGTAAGTACAAAGATGCAAAGTAGTTAGAATAGATAACCATATGTATGATAAATTAAAGAAACTTACAATAACATCTGTTCTAATCTCCCCTTGTGTAACTACTGACCAAATACTGGCAATCCTGAGTATTAGTCTCACATGACAAGACTGAAACTGACATCTCGCAAGTGACATCTATGTCATGCTACTGAAGTGGTCAGATAAGGGGTCACAATCCAATACATATTCAATGAATTATGGCAAGCATTTGTGAACATGATCTATATTGTAAGATTTGAGGCTTTCACGGTGGTGACTATGAAGAAAGCAGTCTTCTGGGATTTGGCACCGTGTATATGTGGTGTTAACCGACGTTTCGGAGGAACGTATCGCCTCCACAACTCAGATGGAGGCGATACGTTCCTCCGAAACGTCGGTTAACACCACATATACACGGTGCCAAATCCCAGAAGACTG